TGACTAAATTATCATTATTTTTTTTGAAGAGATTATTACCCCCGGAAAAGCGATCTGCGAATTGACTAACAATCGGTTCCTACATACTTCTAGGTAAACAGAGGCGTGAGGAGTAAGGAAACTTGCCCAACATTTAGTCCTGCCTCATTTGCGAGGTGAGTGCTCGAACCACTACACTACAGGACTCCACATATTATTAAAGATAACTAATAAATCCCATTTCTTGAGGGAGAAAAAAAACCCTATTTCAACCCCTATATCAAATGGAGTATTCTGTTTAAAAAACTTGACTCTGGGTAGTAGTTGGGCTTACTCCTTTCAAAATATAGGTAATCTTTCCACTAGCAATCCAGAAGACGCTTGAATGCTTGGCACAGCAAACTAATTTTGTGGGCTGTGTGCCCAAATCAATAACTGGATCCATTATTCAACCAATTTCCTTTCAACTTCATAATATTAAACTATTGCCTAACCTCATTCCACATGAGGATATCATATTTTTAAAATTATTAAATATACTGTATTATTTTAATAGGGTTAGGGTCATGCATGCTCAACTCTGATGGGCTAAATGCTTATTCCAGGCCCTAACTTGCATCTCCACTGCGTCTTTCCATGTGCTTGGATATTAAGTGCGTAGTCAGCAAAAGAACCAATGTCTTCAGTTAACATAACTTAGTTATAATCTTTTAATTTGATAGACCACTTTATGTCACAACTCAAAGTACCTCACTAGATGTATTGTAAAGTTGAGACTGTGTATTTGTAGATGAATGCAGCAGCTAATTTGAACACAACAATGTCCCATCACCAGTCATGAAATGATTCATCAATTTTGTATAGGAATTGTTGGTCAGGACACCAGGAGAAATTTTCTCTTTTTTAAATAATGCTATGCGATATTTACCATTCATCTGAACAGGCAGACCTGAGTTAATCCTTCCTCTACAGATAGAGTTATCTATCCCAGTTATCCTTCCTCCCCCACATCCGGTCCCTGACCAGGACCACTTTCCTCCACCTCCTTCACATTTCCCGTCTCCGACAATACCTCACTCCACAAGCTGCCGAAACCCTTGTCCACACCTTCATCACCTCTTGGCTGGAACCGGTCTCCCCTCCTTCACTATTCAAAAAATTCAACTCATCCAAAACTCCGTCAACCACATTCTCATCCCCTCTGAACTCTGATTACCCCAGTTCTTACCAAACTCCATTGGCTCCCTGTCAGAGCGGATTGATTTCAAGATCCTCACTCTAGTGTTTAAATCCTTCCATGCCTTGGCACCCCCCCATCTCTCCAACCTCCTCTTCCCTCACAGCACTACCTACTGCATCCGCTCTACTGACTCCTGCCTCCTCTTTATCCCTCGAATCCTCCACTCCGCCATCAGCGGCCGTGCCTTCAGCCACTATGTCCCAAAGCTATGGAACTCCCTTCCTCAATCCCTTCGCCTTGTTCCTCCTTCCTCATTTTCATGGTGTGCCTGAAGACCTTCCTCTTTGACAGTGCCTACGGTTACCTTTCCCTCTCCCTGGCTCGGCATTGGGCTCCACCATTGTTAAGCACTCTGGGATACCGCCCGGTGTGGAGGCCGCTATAAATGCAAGTTGTTGTTGTTTAACATCTCATCCAAAGGACTGCACCTCTATCAATACATATACCCTGGCACTCCATTAGAATGTCAGCCTAGACTATGAGCTCAAAGTCCTGATATGGGGCTTGAACACACAGTCGACAGACTCAGAGGTTTGAGTGCTACCTACTAAACCGGACTAACTTGGCACATTTAACAAGTATGCAAATATCTAGAACCTTTTTTTAAAATAGCATTTTGTAGTTTTTAAATCAAGTGTTTACTTTCTAGTGTTATTTCTTTGGTCGAGAAATAGAGATATTGAACAACTCTACGCCAAAAGAACAATTTCGCACTGCGCTGCTTCTTTAATAGAAAGTATATCAGGGAACCAACCCACATTACAAGCTCTCTAGTTCGTTCAACAATCCAGCCCTTCATTAAAGGCTGCTATCCTAAATCATGTGGCATTCCTTCTTGTTAACGTAAATAATTGTGTACCTTTATTGAATCAAGAGTGTTTAACGTTCGTTATTTTCAAACTAAATAATACAACTTGCATTTAACTAGCGCCTTTCACATTGAGTAATCTCTTGCAGTACTCTTTGGAGATAGTGCTGGACACCAAACCGAGGGGATGGGGTGATGATAGGCACAGTTAAAGAGAATAGCTTTTGGACCATTTTGAAGACTTTTAGAGAAGGGGTGAGATGGTAAGGTGGTGGGTGGAGGCATAGTAGCTGAGGACTCAATTGTCTATGGTAGATGAAACGAGAGTGGGTGGATGGGAGGGAAGGGGAAATGGGGGGACACTTGTGTAGTATATTTACAAAGTAGCTTGCCAACCTTAACACAGTGTTTATACCTCCATGAATCCTTCCAGAAAAAATCAAATGAGAATTCCCTTTTCATATGTTCGCTTTCGTTCAAAATATCTGAGAAACAAAGCCCAAAAAATACATTGCTGAATGCGATGGCCTTTTTGCCAGACCATATGAAGAATATTTGGCACTCACGGGCAGGTGGAGACTTTCCTTCAAATGTTTGGGAGCGAACGACTTTCATGCTAATGGTCACATTGTGATCCTAGTGGTTGTGTTTGGAAGTACTTTGAATGGCCCCAGCATCTCTTGGCTGATTAACATGTTGATTCTGCAAACGTCTACTTTCCTGGTGGAACCAACTCCACTTCTTCTGATGTTGCACTCCTCATCTCACTGTTAGACCCCTGGTTAATGTTCCATTTCTCTTTCCCCAACTACTGCTTTGGCATTGCCTCAAACAATGACACTTCCCCAACAACCTAGGTTTGCTGCATTGTTTGGCCCTTTTCTCTTCCACACTTTCTCATGTTAACTTCTGGAATCTTTTGCATTTAGAATTAAAGAGAATCTTTAGCTAAATGCAAAGAGGTATTGTTTCATTGGTGTAAAACAAATGTTAACTCATTGGGCCTTCGCCTTATGGGCATGACTTATTTTTTTTATACTGATGTAGAAATATTGGATACTAAAAGTTTTTAGAAAACAACCCAAAATCTGGTGTCATTTAAGAATAAAAATCTGCAAGGGAAACTGATAGGAAAATTTCTCAAACTGCTGCACTGAGCAGACCATGCCAACTCTTGCCTCTGTGCCAGAGGTCTGTATTTTCAAAGTACCTTGTCGGGAACTTTGAACTCATGGTCTGGGTTGATACTCCAGTATCATATTGGGGTAGTGCTGCACTGTTGGAGTCCACCAGATAGTTGATGAGGGAACTCTGAGGCTTGGGGTGACAACTGCTGTAAGGCTTTGCATTGAATCTGAGTATGTGAACACATGTTTGTTTATCCAGTGACTGAAATTTGTCGAGATTGGCTTGCAATGAGGCAAGCAGCTGCTGCTTAAGCTCCGCACCTCCAATTGGTGGAACCATCACTCATTGGGAAGGGACTTATGTTCCTACAGACAGGAAGATGGTGACAATGCAGTCATGCATTTCATGCTGAGCTGTGTTGCCCACCAGGAAGTTACTGGTACCTACCATCCACTTAGTGAGGACTTAAACCGGTGCGTGTCAGATGTCAAATGACCATTGTAAGTGTAAAATATTATAGTCTCCATTATCCTATATCACTACTGACTACCCTCCTTGGGTTGGAGATAAGTGGAGTCTCCTTGGAGCTGAACTGGCTCAAGGTAATATGCTTGGCAACAGAATGTTGGAATCGAGCTAACCCTCTGTGGCGGTTTCGGTATTCTGGTTCCACAGTATTCCAGGGCACTGCTGATGACAAACCAGCAGCCTGGCTCTTCTGCAGGACTCGGAAGGACAGGTGAATCACTGGGAGAAGGAAGTCATCCCGCTCAGCTCCTGTTAACTTTGCAAACCAAAGCCCTAATGGGTAGAATGGTCCAAGCCGGACAAGCAACGGGAAAGCTTACCAGACATTGCTCTCAATAGTGGTTTTAGCTGTTAACCTCCAGCAGTACCAGATTGGACACTCTGGTGTCCCCGAGTCTTGGCTCTTGCCAAATACTTTCTGGAATTAAGGTAAGTAGGATGTGTCCCTCCTGGGAGAGAGTGCGCATACCTTTCCAACAATCTATCTCTGGGATTTCCATGGATAGGTGGGATGCATGGAATTCTCAGTTTGGTTTGGATACTCTGAAGTATGGTGATGGGTTTCTGCATGTGTCAGCCACACAGCTGACCAAAAAAAAATCCCACTGACCCTAAGAGTTTCTCCCAGTGTACTGGTTAACATTCCTCCGTATAAAATTAGCCATTCACCTCCTGGCTGTTTGTAGGACATTACGAATTGTGTGCAAATTGTGATGTTTGCTTAAAAGTTACACAAAATCATCAGTGTGTGTGTGTCAGACACCAGACTGACCTCAAAAGGGAATTACTGTAAAGTGCTTCTGAGATAACAATAATCCTGCATGTGAAATGACAGGATTATTATTATTGTTATTATTATCAATGCCAGGGTTATTTTTGTTATTGTGGGGAGGGGGAGGAAGAAGCTCAGGACATGTCCCACTCCCCATCCCCATTCATTACATCCACACGTGCAGTGCAGTTGAAGCCGCTGCTGCTGACACGCTGGACCAGGTTCCCTGCTCCCGATTGGCAGAGGGAGCCGTCAGTCACGGTGCGGGCCACGTCTGATTGGCCCGCGCCGTCGCCAATCAAAGAGGGCCGGTCGCGATTGGTCAGGGCCGTCGTCAATCAGGAGGAGGCGGGCGCTTGCCGGCCGGGCCGGGCCGGGCTGAGCTGAGCGCTGTGGCGGGACTTGCCGCAGTCCAGGGGGCGCCTCTCCAGTGCACCGCAGCGATAGAGAGAGGGAGCGAGAGAGAGAGCGAGAGAGAGAGAGAGCGTGCGGAGTCCCTGCAAAACAATACAACCCAACACAGCACAGCACGATACACCGGGCAGCAAAACCCGGCGGAGTTGGTTTCCTTTCAAACTCTTCGTGATAGAGATATATATATATATAAAAAAAAGTGGCGTGAAAGGAGCAAAGAGTGCGCGGAGGAATCCTGAGTTGCAGCGGGATCTTGGCGCGAGGGAGAGAGAGAGAGAGAGAGAGAGAAGAACGCGGGGTCGGCGCCGGGCAACGTTCCACTCGCTCACTCGCTCGCACCGCGCGCTCCACACCTGCAGCAGAGACACAGCTCCCGGGGCTGCACGCGGCGGCGGCGGCGGCGGCGGCGCGATGAGGAGCCTCTGGATCGTCTTGACTCTCGGGCTGTGCTCGCTGGTCAGCGGGGAGCTGGTGAGTGTCCGTGACCCGGGCAAGGTCTAACTGCTCTGGGGAGGGGGTCATATCCCCCCCCCCACTGTCCTCACCTGCCGGGGGTGGGGTGAGGGTAACGCTGGGAGGGAGGGAGCCCCAGTGGGAGCAAACGTTAGCGTCGGAGGATTGAGTTTGCGCTCTGTGTAGATAGAGCTCAGCGAAGGCTGTCAAGTGAACGCTGCGGGTTTAAAGAGAACAAAAGTGCCGACGCGTATCATATCAAGTCAGGCGTCAGATATAGTGTGTAGGTGTGTGTTGTATTTATTTATATATATCTATAAAGGTGGGTTTATATAAAGCAAACTCTGAACTCAAGCCCAAGTGGCTCAGGGCAATGTCTTCATACAGTGTATTGTATTGTATTTCTCTCTGCTCTGCTCTGCTCCCTGGTTTGTTCCCTCCCCCCTCCCCCCTCACACACACACACACACACACCTTCTCCAGACACCGTGAGGGAAGTTATGAGGAAGTTTTTTTTTATTGTGTGGCATTTGCGATTGTGGGAAGGTCCCACTGAACTGGAACCAAACGCACATAAACTGAGCGCTGATCGGATACATCAAAGCGCAGCCCTGAGAAATGCGGTTTACATATGCGGGAATGCTGCCTCCGCTATAATCCCTCCACAAAACCGAGAGAGGGGGAAGGAGGGAGGGAGGGAGGGAGGGAGAGGTGGGGGTGGGTTCGCCCGCGGCTGTGGAAACGACATTGCAGTAAATCCGATCCTCTTGTCCCTGTCTCCCTTTGAAAGGATCGAGACACTGAAACATGTTTGTCCGAGGAGCCATATGTTAATCTCCGGACTCAGCAGAGATTTAAGGGGAAAAAAAGACTGGTTCTGCGGAAATTTGCGTGTGCGAGTGGCTTTGCATTTGTTTTAAACCACGTCCCTCCTTTAGATGGCGTCTGTGAGACTTTCAGAATCAAATCGTGGGAATCGTGCTTTATATTTGAAATATAGCTCTGCTTTTCTTTTCTTCCTGTTTGTAATGTGCTGCCAATATGTTCACCGTTGAGTCGTCGCTTCTTTCATCACTGGTTCTCTGCATTGTGCAGGAGATCAAACAGTCTTTGCTGTTTACGTGTTGGGGGTTTTTTATTACAGTAATTAAAAAGTGATCCGGAGGAAGGAAAAACACACGAACGGTTTTTTTTTCTTGCATGAATTAACTGCTGAAATGATTCAGCTGACTGGAATAAATACATGGAATATTTGTTTGCAAAAGTGTTTTTGTTCTTGAAGGGTCAGTGTCCCAAAGATAATTGGTCTTGCAATCGCTTTCGTTGCTTGTGCAAACAGCATAAAGTTGTTTGGTCTCTTCCAGCCTTTTTTGAAATAATTTTTTTTAAAAAAAACTTCAGTGTTGGAACTCCAAAATGTAGTTTGCTGCGTAGGTTGTTCCAGGAAATGAGCTCACCTTTTCCCCCAAAGTAGCATCAATGCAGCTTTAACAGAAATGTGCTTACTTAAGTGGAATTATTTGTGCTATATAAACTTTACGTTGTTTTTGAAGCGCTCTGAGACGCGGTTCGGCGTGGAGGGCACTGTATAAATCCAAGTTGTTGTTTTCAAATCAGTAAACAGAAAATGGTTGAGGAGCACTTTTGAATAAGCACAATATGTTCTGTTATCGTTTCCTTATTGATTCAGTTTTACAACTGATGTGAACACACAGTATTGTGCTCTTGTCTGGAAGTTGCTCTCTATAACTGTCCTCACCCAGTCATTTCTTTAATTTGAGAACTAGGTGGGACAGGTTTTACACCACTTGCTGCAAACTCAATACAAATTTATTGAATTTACCAAGGAAGAAGAGCGCAGTGTATAAATAAAATATGTTTGGTTTGGGGGAAGGGGTGGGGGTGTCTTTGAATGCATGGCGTTGCTTGTGAGAGTAACTTCCTTGTCGAACTTGCAAAAATATTTTTATTTACCTTTTCCTTAACAGGAAATTTACTTGGCTGGCCTGACAAAGAGTAATTTGAAGCAGATGTTTTTCTAGGAAATTTTAAAATGTAAAACCTTATTAAATGTTATTTGCTTCTATTTGGTACATTTATAATAATAATAATAATAATCCTTGCATTTGATATAGCGCTTTTCACGTCGGGAGGATGTCCCAGAGCGCTTCACAGAACACACTGTAAAGTGAATTGACTGTATATTTGTGGGTGAACGCGGCAGCCAATTGCGCACAGCAATGTCCCACAAACAGTCGTAGATTGAAAATGACCAATTTATTATTGTTTTTGGTTTTGGAGGGATTATTATTAGGCTCTGTGTGGAGTAAGGAAACTTGCCCAAGGTTTCGCCCTCTGCCTGGAATTGAGCTCAGGTCTCTCGCTTGCAAAGTGAGTGCTCTAACCACTGAGCTACAGGACTCCACTGATGAAATGGTGCAAAAAAGTATTTTTCATTTGACTTTTAAATACTGTATTTTACAACCTTCCGAGTGGCTTTCTAATAGTGGCCATTTGTGATCTCTGACTTAGTTGCCAAACATAACTGATTGCTCAAAATAATGTTTTATAAAAAATATTTTGCTGGGACATTAAAAATGAGATTGTCATAACATTTAGTTGAGGGATAAGGGACGCATGGAGACTGGACAATATAGACTTGGAGGGTTCCAGGCTCAGAACAATATAAGATGGGAATACTGCTGGCTTTTAATAACTGGAATTTGACATTTTTAACCTTAAAAGTTTGTTTTGCACCAGCTGCAGATGGACTGCTTTTGTACCACATCATGTGCAAAGGTCAAGTGGTATTTGACTATCTCCTTGAGGTAGTCCTGCACTTGTATGAATCTGGTACCAGGGCTCTTGAAATTGAAGTACTACAGTTTGTATTGATTCAACATACTGATCGCATTTGACATACAAGTCCCAATGATTATACTAACTTGGCCAATTAATTACTGTGGGAGTCTTTCATAATTGAGTTGAAGCATTTTGATTTCTAGCACATTTTATAGACTATTGTACAGAGTAAAAAAAGCTGCCAAGAGATAATAAGAAAATCTTCACCCTACCTTAGTGAAGATGATTACATAGAATTATTTGGATCTACAAAAATTTACATTATTCAGATGAAATAAGTTTGAGGTTCTATAACAGTATGTTTGTACATCTGCTAGAGAGCACCTGATGAGTATATTCTATTGCTAAGGGATTATTCTCTATTGTGTAAGTGGCTTTATGCAACCTATTAACTATGGCTTGCATTTCTGAATCTTACTCACTCCCACCCTCGCTCGCCTCCACTGGCTCCCCATCCCCCAGAGGATCGAATTCAAGATCCTCATCCTCACCTACAAGGCCATTCACGGCCTCGCTCCCTCCTACCTCTCTGACCTACAATCCCCCTACTTACCTGCTCGTACCGTCCGTTCCTCTGGCTCCGGTCTGCTCCACATCCCCCGCCCCAACCGCCCTACCATCGGTGGCCGGGCCTTCAGCCTCTCAGCCCCGAGGGTCTGGAACTCCATCCCCCAGTGCCTTCGCCGCCTCCTCCCTTTCCTCCTTCAAGGCCGGTCTCAAGACCTTTCTCTTTGACCGAGCCTTCAGCTCCCCTCTCGACTCTCTTCCCCCTCCTCGCTCCCTCCCTTCCCCCCTCACCCTGACCATTTCCCCCCTCCTCGCCCCTCCCTTCCCTCCCCTCACCCTGACCATTTCCCCCCTGCTCGGGTCCTGACCCAACTGTACAGCGCCTTGGGACGTCCTCCGGACGTGAAAGGCGCTCTATAAATGGAATCTTGTTGTTGTTAAATGATTACAACAAATTGTAATTATGTAGTGCCATTTTTGTTGGGAGGATGTCCAAAGGTGCTGAATAATAATAATTCTTGCATTTGATATAGCGCCTTATCACATCTTCGAGACGTCACAAAGTGCTGCATAGAATAAACTGTGAAGTGAATTGACTATAATTTTTGTGGGTAAAATGGCAGCAATGTCCCACAAGCAGCCATGAAGTGTATGACCAAACTCCCTTCTCCTTTCAAACAGTGCCATTGGATCTTTAATGTCCAACAACAACAAATGACACTTGTATAGTGCCTTTCACCGGAATAGGCAGACAGGACCTTGGTTTAGTATCTTATCCGAAGGATGGCACCTCCAGCAGTGTAACACTGCATTGGAGTGTTAGCCTAGAGCAGTGCGGTCCAACCTTTTGGCTCTTGAGGGCCGGATTTGAGAAACGTGGGCTGCTTAAGCAATATTTCCCTTCCAGAAACATAACCTGTAAGGATCGTACAGAAATACTATCATTTAAATTGTGTAAGTGCATCATTTAATTTCACTATTTTAGTTACAATGCAAATTTTAAATAGGCAACATAAAAAATCGAACAACTTTTAAAACCATACAGATACCATGCATCTCTCTCCTTCTGAGTGTTTCTCTCTCTCTCTCTCTCTCTCTCTTTCCGAGTGTTTCTCTCTCTCTCTTTCTCTCTCTCCCTTTCCGAGTGTTTCTCTCTTTCCGAATGTTTCTCTCTCTCTCTCTCTCTCTGTCTCTCTTTCCGAGTGTTTCTCTCGCTCTCTCTTTCCGAGTGTTTCTCTCTCTCTCGCCGAATGTTTCTCCATCTCTCTCAGATAGGTATGATGGTAAGAATTCACAGTTGCGGTGTTCTGTATCAAATAACCTGCACCTATTGCCCTCTCGAGTTTCTTAAGTATTTTGCTATGAGAGGAATATCAGGAGATTAAGCAGAGAGTCTACACTTAAGATCAGCCAATTTCTTTGAGGAAAGTAGGGAATGAAGTTGTTGAAGTTCCTATGATGGACTTGCTTCTTCTTGCTATCATTTGCCAGTATGATTGAACCCTAATCCAGGAATAGAGAACGTTCCCCACACAAACCCTCCAGCATGTGCTTGGAGGAGGTGTTCTAATAGATACTCATTGGTTCCAATGGTACAGATATGAAGAAATGTGGTAACATTAGTGCAGTATTCCCAGGATCATTTGCTT